CAGCATTTGTTTTGCTGTTTTTCACCACATTATCTACACAATTACAAACTTGCGTCATAGAGAGGATTAAATTTAACAGAATTTCGTCAATGACCTTAAATTCTGCTTTCAATTTCCTCTCTCGGCCAATATTACGGCATGTCTCTGCCGGATTCCAACCAAAACGCCGTATCAACCTTCCGTATTGTTTTACAAACTTCTTCCCGGACGCAATGGATAACTGTAAAAACTGTACATGTACAGGCAAAATTATCACGACAAAAGCTACAAAAAATGTGTAAATAATACACAGCAGATAAGAAAGAATGAGACAATCTGATCGCTCGTCAAGGAATATTCCTAAATCACTCTTCGTGAAACAAACAAATCTGTACGAACCGTAGGTGGGCCCTTTTAATTGAAGTCACTGTGATGCGTGCAAGAGCATGTTTTGTGCAATCATCGAGGCATGATTTAATGACAAGAAAGAGAATAACTCCACACACCTTTAACATCCAAAAGCCAAGAAAAGAGCACGAAAGACACAATATAAGCGATCGGCCCCCAGTTCTCAAGCAACGCGATCGTTCCATCGCTCCAGCCAAAAACATCTTCGGCAGATCCTGCTATAGGACCCCACGTGTTCCAAGCCGCCGCTTGTACTCCAGCGATCAAAGAGAATACGATTAAGATGTACCATCTCCTCGTATACACGGAGCAGGAGTCTGTGATGGAGTCTTTTTCATTTTTGGAGAGAAAACTCCGACTCACCGACAAGACCCTGTCAGCCATGCTCTTTTGTTTACGAATGAAATGCGAGTCCTTTCAAGTGGGCTGTGTGATTGGCTTTTTGCGTTATTTCCATTGAAAGTAGGGGAGGGGATATATGGGACACGTGCGCCAAGAGGAGAGCAAAACAATGCCAAAGAGAAAGCTGATCCAAATTTCGTGAGAATAATTCTTGCTACTTATACTGAGAAAAAAAAATGGTTTAAAAAAAAAATTCTCGCGACAGTCAACTCTTAGTAACGGAGAAAACGCTCCTCGTTTAACTTTTTATTTGTCATTATTTCTTTATTGTCACTCAACATCAGTGCATTAGATAATAATTTTCAATCTTGTGATCCAGTCAAATAACCAAAATTATTTACTCATAACGAGATTTTCATGTAGGGGATTATTGGTTGATCTATTATGAAATTCTCTGAACTTAAGAGATAAACAAGGAATGAAGGTCCACAGTGTGGTACCTTGGTCTCCTGTTGTAGAGCTGTAACCACTCATTTAATTTCTTTTTCAATAAAGATTCTTGTTGCAGTTGATGAGAGATGTCAAAGAATAAGAGTTATAATTTCAAATTTGATCATGCCTAAGATTGTGAACCATGATAATATAAGGGGCTAGTAAACATTAAATAATTTAGAGGGTATGTCATTAATTTGCAAAAGCCAATATTACATAGGGAGGGTTTTCCTTTCTAACCCTGAATAAAATGGTTAGTTGCTCATGTGGGACAAATAATAACCCGGTTCTGCATGCTTCACATTCAAGCTGGCAGTGAAATTGTTATTAAAGAGATATAACAAATTTTCAAAAGATAGTCCACCAAAACTTTATTCCTTTACGAAAACATCCAACAATTTCCTGCAAACAGCATATGCATCCTTAAATGTACATTATATACATTTTGCCTGGACACACTGTAAGTGATTACAGAAACACTTTTAAAACCATCACAAGTCAGATTTTTTTCGTGCTCATCACAATTTAAAGTTAAGGGTGTCATATAGATCAACTTTCAACCTATATATCAACTGATAAAAAACAACCCAAATCAATCGTACAGTTCAAGATGAACAGGCTGTGTGCATTCCAATCCAAGCTTTTCCAAGACGCAGGCATCAAATTTCTTCTGCGTCGCCCGGCAATAACCAAATTCCTGGTTGTTGTAGTCAAGACAAGTCCAATGTTTGGTGAAGACGTCATTGCAATGATCCTTAAGCTTCTTAAAGTAACCTAGGGCACATTTTGTTGCTTGCTTTCCTTCGTCCAAGCACTTACGCGGGTCCTTGTGGCCATATCGACAGCCCATGAAGTTCTTGAAATCCTTATCACAGTACTGCCCAAGATGATGGGCACCTCCCATCAAAACGGCTGATGTTACTTCTACTTCTTCGACCTCCAGGTCTTTGAATTGAATGTCTTTGACCCCAGTAGCCATTTCTGCAAAGAACACCAACACTCTTTCCAGAGAATCAAGATGGCGGTCTGATACAACACCGCTGGCCTGTAAATCAATTTCACGGTTCGCATTGCATTGTAGGTTATTTTAAACATGGCGGACGACGAAGACGTTTGCCGGGTCATGTCGTCTGAAAATTTTGACGAAGTTTTAAGTCTTGTCTGGGGAGCAAACATAAAAGAGGAGATATTCGAAAGGTGGTCTCAAGGTATTGTCTCCAAATATTTATTGGGTATAGGTAATTGATCCCTGAGTGAAGCTATGGATGGTACATTTTCAACTTTCACTTTTACTAATGCCTTCCGTGACATCGACATAATCCTACATAACCTTTGGATCGAAACTCTTACATTTGAAAATCTTGGTTGTCTAATTAAAACAATTTTTGCAGTCTGATATATAGTATCGGATCTGAGCAGTTTTTTAGTGGGGGGGAACAAATTTAAAGATTTGTATCAAATTTTTGGGTCATCCTTGGTGTAAAAACCTGACGAGGTTTTCTTTGTTTCATGAGGTATTGTTCTGCTGTACGTTATTGTTTATGTTTTGTTGTCTTTGTTTTACGTCACTCGTGAGCTTTAAAGGTTTTTACACCGAGGATGAGCCGGAAAAATAACATATTTCGCGACAACAATGGATACAAATGGAAACTCGGCCTACTAGTCCGAAAATGAAGACAATGTTTCGACCTTTTCCCTTGGGTTAGAGTGAGAAATAGACTGTAGGTTTCCTTCAAAGGTAGATAACCTTTATAAACTGTCTAATAGAGGTTGAAGTGGTGGGGGATGGTGGACACATCGAACCCAATTTTCTCATTTTATTCTCTGACTCGGGGATCGATCCAATTTTACTTTCTCTCCAAAGTTGATATTTGTCTCCAGCCTCCTGCTTAATTAAGGCGATCGTGTTCCTTGGTATCTAGCTTTGGGTAGTCGAAGAAACCTGCAAAACAGGGAAATGAAATCAATACCAAGAATTTGAGCTATAAAAACGTCACCCGCCTTCATACTTTATCAGACTTTTGCCAAAAGGACGACAAACAAAATTAAAACAATAAACAAATAAAGTGTTATACACTATAAACTAGTTTCACAGTACCAAGCAAGTCTCAACACTTAACACACAATAGGATAAAATCCATCAGAGTGCACGTGCAAGCCTTGAAAGAGTAAATTTGAATCGTTCAAATGTCTCCTTTTCCTTTACTCTTATAGGGTTCTTCCTTCTCTCCTCCCCCCCTCTCTCTCCACTCTCGCAACCGTAAGTAAAATAAAGACCACAAATGCATTTAAATCGTTTACTTCTGCCTTATCTAATTCGTAATCCAGTTTCAGCGCACAGTAAAAAATGTCTCGGATTTAAAAAGGAAATTTCTTTCCCAAACAACGAAGTGCTGGAAAGCAGATGAAAACACGAAGCCGTCAGACCAAGCGAGTTTGCAAATCCCGTGAAGCACGAGTCACCTAGTTTCGAAATTGCTCCTCTATCGCGCGGCGTAAAATGATACAAGCTGATTCTGTGTCTTATTACTGTAATCCCTTTTCGTGTCACGACAAACAGAAAGTGAATTTGTCCATTTTTCCTGTCACTGACGAGCGGTAAANATATAAAACTAGTTATAAAAAAGCTGAGATACCATGCCTGCCAGGATTGATAAAAAACCTATCATTTATTGCCTTTTTTATAACCTCAAACATGATGACCATCCATTAAAAAGCCTACTCCCAAGGTACAAAGACTATATTGTAAACATTCGAAGGAAATCCATTGTCAGGCCCAGCATTAACACTGAACGTTTTAAACATAGCTTTTTTAATAGATTAATTTTTAAATATAGTCCAGCTGTGTAAACACCCCATATGTATTTCTAATCATTTTTAATCATTTTTATTCAATTTAATCATTGTAAATTTTCCTTTCAATATATATTTTTACTGTAACATCAGATATGTAATTTTATTGGATGGTTTTTTAATAAAGACAAATTTATTTTATTTAATAAAGACGAATTTATTTATTTATTCTCTAGGCATGTACTAAGACCAGGAACACCGGAACACCCCGGAACAACAATAACATTTATTTATACCACAAAGAAATAAGATAAGAAACATTAAGAAACTATATATTTAGTGCCTGCTTCTAAGCTCTTTCATGTTACGTGGGTAAACAAATTACATCTACATTTTATTTTTTTACATTGTCAAATTCAGTGTTCCTGGGTGTTCCGGTGTTCCATGGTGTTCTGGCATTGTGTTCCTGTGTTCTGGGGTGTTGGGGTGTTCCGGTGTTCCAGGTTTTAGTACATGCCCATTCTCTAATGCATTTACCTTTCCTTTTTAGTTTGTAATCAGAAGGTGAATCTTGATTGGGTGTCATAAGCCTTTAACTTCTAAGAGTTGTAAACATCCAACTCTCCCCAACAGTATCACTCCAATTATATTGAAACCCTTGATTGTTAGACAAATTCTCCTTGTAAGCACCATAGAAAATGTATGTAAAACAGTATGGAGAACTTGCATACTGATATAAGGGTTTAAAGAGTGTGAAACAAAGACAATGAGGAGCCCAACCCACCATAACGAATTGAAATAAATGAAATAAAAAGGATCGGGGCTCGACAGTAATGGAAGCCAACTAGCCGCAGACTAGTAGGAATTCAGTTTTAGCTGGTGGTTTTTGACTTCCACAAGCTAGTTTGGGTAGTTAACAAGCTGAAATTGTTATAATATCTAAATTGTCACTAGCCACTTGGCTACAGTAAGTTGAAAAGTTAGTGTGGAGCCCTGAAGGATGTGTATGAAATAAGTAGACATGCTTGATATGTAATGGTTGTGTCTTCTTGTGTTGTATTTCTTGTAGGTTTTCTCTTTTCTACATTGGAACCAAGTGCTCTTATTCAGGAACAAGGAGGACCTTGTGCTATCATAGCATCTGTCCAGGTGAATATAGTACCATACTGACTCTCTCCAATGGACCGTAGTTAAGAGGATTAATGCTGACTTTTCCCAAGTGTGGAAAGGTCGAGGGTTCGAGCCCCAGCTGGACCAACACTCAGGGTCTTAAAATAATTGAGAAGAATTTGCTACCTTTCTATAACATCAAGAATTGGTTAGGTATTCTAGTCTTCTTGGATAGTGATAAATAAATGGAGGTCCCGTCTCCTGCAGGGTTGGGGTAGGAGACGTTAATTTCCCACACACGAGATTACTGTGTGATGGATGTCCTCCCCTGGGGTGGGATGGGTGGGAGAGTGGACT